CAGCAAGCCGTGTGCCTGTCCATTAAACAGCACTTGCGCCGACTAACTGCCGCGGCAACGCAGCGCGTAGCACACGATAAACTATGACCGGTGATGCGGGAACAGACAAGCCCCTTACAGAAAAAGGGGCGAACGGGATCATCCGAACAACAAGAGGCCAATATGCTTCCAATGCATAGCGTACGAAGTGTTTGCTCCCTTCCTGTATCGTCACCACGATGCTAGTGCGGAGCTAGTTGTTGGAAGGGTTTGCTGCGTTTGCCCAGGCGAAAGTAGCAAGTTCACATTTTTGTGGGTTTGCTGCGTTTCGCGGCACGAAAGTAGCACGTTTACATTTGTGTGGGCCTGCTGCGTTCTCCAAGACGAAACTTGCAAGTTCGCATGTTTGTGGGCCTGCTGCGTTTTCAGGAGCGGTAATCGCTGGCAGCGTGCGTGCTCTGCTCACTCCGAAACCAAGCTGCGTTGGGCAATCCGGGGAACTCTGCGTGGCATGGCACTGGCGTGAAATCCACGGAGGCGCAATGCCACTTGAGTTCGCTTTGTCCTGTCGGGCTGAAACCCCTAGCGGTTCCGCTGCGTCGCTGCTTCATGATGTTTCATGGCTGGGTTGGCAGGGGACCGGCCTGCCCGGGATGGTCTGGCGAGCATGTTTGCTGTGCTTTTCCTGTTGCCCATTTCGTGTTTGCAGTGCGGGAAAGCTGTTTGAATAGGTTCTACGCGCGTGCCCGACAGCCGGCTCTGCACAAGGTCCAGGCTATGCTGCATGAAGGCGAAGCCATGTTTCCATCTCTCGACGTTACCGACGCTGCTTATATCGTTGCCTTCGAAAGCTCGTGGGCTTGTGCCCGACTTACTAGCGTACTTGGAACGTCTTTCCTTCCAAAGCAGCACAACTCTTTTGGAAGGGAACAGCCATGAATGCAACCGGGGCATCAATATTACGAACCACAATGCACCCAAGAGAAGGTGACCAACCCAAAACATGAAAAACAATCAACAATGCGGCCAAACACACGGTTTGGTTAACCGGAGCAGGAGCAGATGATGCCAGGCACGGTGCTCAAAGCAAAAAAGCGATGCAAAGCCACAAACGATCCTGCATACACTTCCTTGAAGGGTTCGATCCCACACAGGTGGGCCCACCCAAAAAATTAACCGTGCCGAATTTAGGGCTTCACTTGAGGCTGTCTTGCGTGGGGCTGTTGAGGTTCACCTGCGGTTTGGCATGGTCAAACCCATACCAAAAAGTCAGTCAGCTAGCCGCGTATAAGACACATCGACACGTAAGCCACGTCATATGACTGAACAGAAAAATTAATGTTATGTTCGCACAAGGAAAAAATTCGTGTTGGCCGACGCCATACTCTTGATGGCTGTCCCCAGATGTGGCAAGGTTCTCCTGGCTGCCACAAAGTTGTATGGCTAGTCTGTACACTTCCCTGCTCCATGTGTGGTGTGGACGCCCCGGACGTCGCGGCAGCGCCAACCTCTTCAGTTGAAAGCTGGCATCGTGGAACGTACGCGTCCTTCGCAAAAATGGTTCTTCTGTAGTGCCTCCCAGCTACGGCGGTGCGGGTGGGAAAAATGGAATTCTGGAATACGCACCGTCCCCGAACATCATCATGCGGCAGGCTAGCAACATAACCCATGAGTTGCAATTGTCGGTATTGCCGAACCGTTGACAACTTGGGACAACATGCACGTCTGAGAGAGAGACAGCTCTATTAACGACCATGGGTCATGGTCCGGGTGAAAATCATGAGCTACATCGCACATCATGGAATACCAGGCACACACAACCAAGCAAGTACACGACCGGGTAGCTATCCGGATGTACCAATTGTTATCCTCACACCTCAGTCCGTGAGCAAGAATTATGCTGCAGCCGTTGAACCCATGCGCTCTACGCGGTGCTTGGGGTTTTGGCAGCATGCATGCTCAGGAAGGCACCTGCTTCGGGAGCCCAGCATTTCCCAACAACAAATTTGCCAGCGTCTGCGGCCTTGTGAAGGGCAGTGCCAGGTGCGGCATCGCCAGCCTTGCACGAGCTCTTCGCGGACGCGCGCTGGCAAGAGGCCCCGCTTGCCAGCCGTGCCGTGCCCCAGCGCGCGTATGCCGAAACCAGCTGGTACCAGGCCGCTGTGCACTGTGCACTGGGACGGCGCCTGCGTTTTTTTGCCAACTGCCACGCCTAAGGCAGTTAGTTGAACAAGTTTCTAATACAAAATAGGGGCCTCGCCAACAAAAGAAGTGAGCCTGCCAAGACCTTCGGCCAAACTGTGATTTTTTCACGTTAGCCAGTCACTGTAAAGATGCAACCCATCAACATTTTGCATGAAATGGCGGTGGTTGGCTGACACGTCCGCGTCCACAACAATTCAGCATTCGGCACGAGGATGATGCAACATGACATTTCCGCATTTCCACAAATAGGCACGTGAATGCGGTGGTTCGTGGGGAAAACTGTAAGCCGAGCTGGCATCCTTGCCGTGAACCAGCACATGGGGCATGGCTGGGCGGATGCTGCTGGTAAAGCACGAAAATTGCTGGTTTTCAGCCCGGGCTGCTGGGGATGGCAAATTTCAAGGCACGGGTGGCGCATTTGACCCAATTTGCGCATATTAGACACCGAATGGTGTAAGCTGCCAGAGATGAGTGTAATGTGCTAAAAAAAATAAGCCCCCATGACGGACAAATGGAGACAAAAACAATAAAGCAGTGGAAGGTTGGCTGTTTGAAGGTTGTCTCGAGCTTCTCATATACATTGTGCGCGACCATTCGCGCCGTACAAAAATGTACGGTCGTCTCTCTTGGAACTGCCGCTGGAAATGGCGGATGAGTGCGATGGCACGGAACCGCCCCTGGCAGACGTGCTGGCGGACGCGCGCCACACCCTCCATGTGCCAGCCAGCCGCCTGCCCGCTTGTGAAGCGGCCACAGCCTGCGGCACAGCGTTGGGGGCCTTGGAACCGACTGGTCATACCACCGTGCAGGCGGAAAAGGCCGAGGAAACCAAAAAAAAATGCACGGCCGATGCAGAGAAAACATTTGTCCGGATTATGTTTGCGCGAATTGAACACACTTCTGTTCCGAGTCTTCGTAGGTAGGGCTTACAGCTTGTCACCTCGCAGCTGCGGCAGAGCGGGAGGAAAAAAACAAAAAATTGAACTGGTCGGGTTTCGATCCGTTGTTTCACTGAGGTTCGCTGCGCTGGAGATTGACAACATGTGCAGGTGCCAGCCCGCCGCAATTATGTGGATTGTTGCTGGTGCTTGTTATTCTCGTTTTTTTTGTGACTCGACGTCGTCTCGATGGGCTTCCTCAACATTTCAGCCATGTACATAGCTTGATCATGCACGTCCCCCCATTGTGTGGTGGCAGCCCGCCAACGTGCCTTGGCTGCATGGCTTGATGTCCAGTCTGCACACAGTTGCGGAATATTGTGTATAAAATGAAAAGCACTAGCCCACATCTTAGGTGCAGCCAGTGACGCGGTTGTTCCGCCAAAGGCGGCAAGGGTTTCTACAGACCCCCGCGTAAAGAGCAGCCCAAGTAGAACGCTGCAACACCTTCCTCATCCCCCAGAACGCGTGCACAACACGTGCCATGTAAATGTAGCCAACACTGACATGCCGGGAGATCACAACCTGCACAATAGAAGGAAGGAATTCAAACAACATGGCGGAATCAGCGGCGAGCCTGTCAGCTTCAAGCCGTTTGCGGAGGCCCAGCGGTGTACCAGTGAATTAATGACACGGGGCGGACACAGTTTGACATGCCAACATCAAAAGGCCAGTGTGGGCAACGCCGCCAAAACCTCTGCAGTCCCTGGACGATCCTTTGCTGCGCGGTGAGGCTTGCAATTTCTGCACATTCAGCATCATGTCAGTCACTGAACGTGTGTGTCACCAACCTCAGCGGAGCTAAGATGACAGCAGGGATGCAAGTAGCCAAAGAGCAATGTTGCCACATTTTTTGCAGGCTTTAATTTCACCGACGGTCGTATCATCGCAAACGCAGCTGCCAGGCCACAGATGGTTTCATTTGCATGGGCTGCACGGGTTGCCGCGTTTCTGGTGCCAGAGATGTCAGGTTTATTGAAGCAGCCCACATTTCCAAAGTCATCGTCCGCATAGTGCTTAGCTCCAAATGTGCGTGTCAAGTGCATCTTTGTATGTGTGTGTGTGTGTGCGTGTGACATGGTGCTCATGTGTATGTAGCGGAATTGTGTGTACATGGGGGGCAGCGGTTTTTTGTTAGCTTAGCTGTCACAAACTCGGCCGGTCCACATGGTCTTGCAGTCATACAGTCACACAAGTCACAGGCACCCGTTTTACCTGTAGCCGAGAAGAAGCTGTCATTGCAGCTGGGCCCCCAGAACCTGCAAACAATTTGTGGATGTGGAAGCAAAGGAAGCGCAATCAGCGCAGGCCGTTAGAACATCGGCCCAGCACTTCAGCGGGCAGTGATGTTTCAATACCAAGCCGAGGCGGGAGATGCAATATTCAAGCTTTGTGACTTGCTGTGGCTGATGTGCAGAATCCGGTGTGTCCCGCGCAGCTGTCAGTGGCCAGCAGCGTAAGACAACATCAAGTAGGTGCATAGGGTTCTAGTGGATGCTGCGATGCCTGGCTTGTGGCGCTGCTGGTGTGTCTGCAATCAGCAATGCCGTGGCTGCCGACCAGCTCTTGCAGAGGCCCAGGGCACTGTGCGGTGGATTCAGCATGTTCAAGTTGTGCAGATCTCCTTCACGTCCAGCGAGGTTAGACGCCGGTCAAATATCCGATGCCCAGAATGTGCGATTTGCTTGGGAACTCCGCCTCAGACAACGTAGCATTCCATCAGGCGCACAGACATATTGAGAATTACAACGCCCAAATTGCCGTTCAGCGTCGCCAGGTGATGCATTGGTCGCAGCCTTTCAGTCCGGGCGAGCGAAGACCTGGCAGCATCTTTGCATAGATTGGGCCCGGGTCAATTTATCTTCGCTTTCAGGGTGTATGCTTCCATATGTTCCCATCGCATGGTATGACAGTACAAGGTTTCCATCCTTCGGGAGATGTGCGCTCGTCGACCAGGCGAGGCATAAATTGAAAAAACGTAAACACAGAAATGTTGTGCAAAGTCCAGGCATTGCAGAAAGAACTCCGTTTTCTGCATAATGCGAATCTCAGTGCATCGCTGATCTGCAACAGTGATTGAGAACTGGCCACACGCCTTCCTTCACAGGAGGTATGCAGTCTGACAGATGAGCTGCTCGATGAAAGCTTGCAGAGCATCATCTTCAATACTGCCACCGCAGCACGCCAAGCAGGGTTCCAAGTGCAGGCACAACTGTTTTGTAAGAGTGTTGCGCTAACCTGCGTTGACAGGAAAGTCCGCGCACAGCAAATCACTGCCACGGGCTCATGCCGTGCCAGGTAAACCGCTTTGACCTCTTCCATGGGCATTTCGTGAAGCGGCGCGATGGTGAAGTTGCCTTGCTGCTGCATGCTTCAGAGTATCCAGCCAGGAAGCTGGGATGACAATTTGTCTGTGTGTATGTGCGCTCGCCCGTTTCATGTCAAGACACCATCAGTGCGGATAAAACGGAATAAATACATGCGGTCGGATTAAGCTCTGAAAACATTAGTTAATACTTGTAGTAAATACATTGGATCTTGGGGCATGGTACTGCAACAGGCCTCCATCCCTTGCCTTTTTTACACCCCCCCCCTTGCTTCCTGGGGAGCACGGCTTCCTGAGGAGCACGGCTCACAAACGTACAGAGCAAAGGAAGCGTCGAACAAGGTGCAAAGCAACAGCATGCTCATGGTTGTTCTGGTCTTGCACAACCCAAAGAGTCCAAGGGCGAGCCATTTTGAGTCTTCGACTAAGGGCAGCTCCACGAATGAAAGCTCCGCTCACTGCCCTCTAACATGATTTTCTGTGTAAACCCGGCGCGAAAACCTGTCTTCAGAAATGCTTCGGAATTTAGACACACATGAGACCTTCCCCCAAAGATTGTCATGAGTCCCTCGCTGCTCTGAAGTCCCTCGCAGCATGAAATTCGAGCGGAGTCTAATTTGGTTGAGCCCTCCGCCGCACCCAGACGAACATGTCATTTTTGAGACTCCTTTGATCATTGCGTCTACATAAAGCTCAAATGACATAGAGACTGCTCTTCAATTCAATGCCCCGCGCTTACTCCTTCGAGGATTCAACCAACTTTCGAATTCGAACGAACGCCCCAAATCCAAATCTAAGCTTCTAGAAGCAATCCTGATCATAGAGTATAAGGAGGAGAGGCTAGACTCAAATTTTGATACTCCGAGTTTGATTATCTGGCTCACACCATTGTTTTCTGTGGTGCATCATGCGCTAAAGTTGATGGTTGAGGAATGTTGCGATGCCGGCAACTGAAGTTGTAGTGGATTTCGTTTTCGCACAGAAAAGGTTTCTCCCCTCTCTGGGTGGCTTGAGTGGAAGGCGCAGCATGCTCCAAACTTGCAAAGGAGCACCTCGTTTCCGATTGATTTGGGCTTCTGCCAGACGGACTCGTCCCTGGAGACGCCTGGTACAACGTGTTGGTGTCGAGAGCCAAGAACAGTTTTTCTGCGCACGTATGCGGGCTGAAGGTACGACCCCGCGATGATGCAGTTCCGGAACTTGTTGGTTCTGTTTTCTGGCCAGCCTCGCGCCTTCGTTCTGGATGCAGAAGCCGATTGCATCAAGGCTATACCGGCTATGCCGTATCTTTCTCCAGGGGCTCTATATACTTGCCAGTGGAGGATGCTTGCCTGCTGCGCATGCCTGCAAGGCTCTGATCCCTGAGTATGCGCGGCAGCCCCTCTATGTCCTCTACGAGGCCGCTTGGTGCAATCTGGGAGAAATGTGCATCATCTGCTCGCAGTGGAGGACACCTTCGGCGAGCCGCTGGCTGATGTTTACTTTCTACCCGGGTATCCTCTGGGTTGGACGCTCCGCAGACCAAAACGGGCTCTGCGTGGGCTGCGGGCAAAGCTCTGAAAAATTGCCGCTGTAACGAGCTTCAACCTTTCTGCGAAGTAAAGGTTCGTCGCTAGGCTGTGCCATGAAAAAGATGCTGCAGGCTGCATCAGGTCCTCGTGTGGTACACGAAAGCCGCGCCCCCAGTGATGCACCTGGATTTGTTCTGACAGCAAGACGTCAGAAAATGGCAGGAAGTGGACGCAGCCGCTCGCGGAATTTGTGCTTGCCTCGAGCCTCGAGCGGCTTCGCTGGCAAAAGGACGATGTGTTTTCTCAAAGTGTTTCTCAGGATCGAAGCCTCTCAAAGGATTTCCAGGGCCAGATCCAAGCTGAGTGTCGCACCTAAAGCACAGTCTTGTGATATCTTCATACATCTCTACGAATCTCTACATATGTCTTTTCCATGAGCTTGCGTCACCTGGGAGGCTCAGCATTCTTGACGAGCAGGCTACGTTTGCCAGGCAATTAGATGCAACGGCTCATGAAACCATGCCAGGCCTCGTGCGCACTCTCAGATGCACCACCGCTGGATCAGGGCTTGCTGGGGTGCTCGGAGAATTGGTGGACCTAAAATCGTTTTTATGCAGTCTTGACATCCTTGTCCAGGTCATACCCAGCTCGGAAGGAGAACTTCAAGAAGGAGCAGTTCTTTCTTCGGCCAATGCCTCTTTTGCTAGTCATGCAGACTGACCGGGCCTTTTGCTCTGCACGCACGTGTCTGATTGGCTGCATGCTCAGGTTTGAATCTGCGCAACAAAGCCGAACAGGTAGCGGCAGCCTGACATCATGCCTTCATATCAAAACTGCATTGACAAGAACTCTGTGGTGTGCTCTGTTCCGTCCTCTAGATCGACAATCCGGCAAAGGCGCCGGCACAACGGCAGCTAATGACGGGAACGAAGCTTTCGAGGTTCGCCTTCTGTTCCTCCTGCATGAGGGCAAGGCTGATCATGTATTTGATGTCACCAGTCTTCGAGCCAGGCAGAGGAGTTGGTGGATCAGGCTGGGACTGGCGTGCTTGAGCTGCTGCAATGCGTGCGACAATGCTGTGCAGGAGGTTTTTCTGAAGGATTTGGCAGATGTGGACCACCACATTCAGGAGCCGCACTGAAGTTGCAAGGAGGACTGCAACCGTGATCGTTCTGTCGTAAGCGGCAGGATCTGGCCCGCAGCATCCTCTTCCAACACCTTGAGAGAGCTAGTCTTTCAGATGCATTTGATGCAGTTTGTGAGTAGCAGCAAGCCGGCTCACATGTGCGCACTGTGTGAGGCATGGAGGAGCGTGCAGCAGCCAAAGCGGAAGAGGCCGTGATTAGAGTTGTTGTCTGTCCCCCGCACTATAGGCTGGCTGCGCGATGGGGTCGCGGTGTGTCCGCGCCACGCAGTAGAAACCACATCATAACCGCTGCGCTCCACCCTCGCTTAGCGTGCTGACGCTGCAGGTCCTCCCCTCAGAAGCGGAGAAGCCAGGTCTGCCCCGCCTGGTCTACTGAGCTGGGCTTCCACAATTCCTGCGCTGCGTCCACTTGCGTCAAACCCCCTCCCTGCCCCTCGCTCTTTGACTTAGGGCCCCTGCTGCGTCTAAAGGCCTCAGCAGACGACTTTGGATGGCCTCGGTTCGCAAATACCTCGTGGCCCCTTATTCAAGTTCGTCAAAGGCTTCGACTAATTTCGTCTTGACCTTTTGGTTGTCTGGCGAATTTGTCAAAGGCTGCCCGGTGTTCCCCCTGGAGGTTGGTTTTGCATTAGCCCCCTGTGCCATAGGTGCGATGGTGA